TCTCAACCTGTAGCCTAGGGGTTAAGTCTCAGTGCTGTCACCACTACCTCCTACTTTCCTGCCAGGGAGTTGATCCACATATGGTACAGCAGCTCCCTCCATCTTGCCATGGCTCCCCTTAGCAGTGTATTTTAGGAAATCTGCTTGTTCTTTGTTCTGTTCTCCTTTCTGAATCCAGTGAATCCTCTCACCCCCTGTACCCATTCTTCTGTGCAAAAAAAAACACAAAAACTCACCTTATTCATTTGCTGAAACTAACAAGCTAGTGTTCAAATTTATGAGAAACCCATGATAACTTACAGTCTTCGTAAAGAACAAAGTTGGAGGACTCACAATTCTCAATTTCATAACCTAGGATAAATCTACAATGATAAAAATATAGACATAAGAAAAACATGTAGATCAACAAAATTGAAGGCCCAGAAATAAACTCTAATACTTGTGTAGTCAGTTGATTTTGACAAGGATACCAACACATTTAATGAAAACCAATAATCTTTTCAATAAGTGGTGCCTGGACCACTGGAAATATACATGCCAAAGAACAAAGTTGGATTGCTTTCTCAGATTCTATATAAAAATGTACCCTACACCTAAATGTAAAGTATAAAACTCATAAAAGAAAATATAGGAGTCAATTTTTGTTACTTTGGTCTTCATAGGTATGAAACCAAAAGCACAAGTGTCAAAAACAACAACAAAAAAACACTTTGTGATTGAAAGAGATCATCGAGAAAGTGAAAAGCCAAACCTCATCCCATTAGAAAAAATATTTCCAAATCATAAATCTGATATGCCTAGAAGAGCTAGAGAACACTTATAAGTCAAAATAAAAGACAAATGCTGCAGATAAAAAATGAGCAAAGCATATGACTAGACATTTCTGCAAATAAGGTATACAAATGGCCAGTAAATACATGAAAAGATATTCCATATCATTATCCATTTGGGAAACGCAAATCAAAACCAAAACGAAATATCATTTGGCAATGTATGGAATGGCCATACTTAAAAAAAAAAACCAAAAACACAATGACAAATGTTACATGTGGAAAAAGTGGTATCCTCATAGATTGCTGAAGTCATCTGAGATCCTAGGATTGTCTGGAAAGATGATTAAATTAAATGAACACGTATATTTTGATAAGTCAATGCTATAGGTTGATACAAACATTAAAAGAATAGTAAAAATGTGCATTATTTCCAAGTTAATAAAGGGAAAAAAAAGATACCACACCTAACCTGGATAATTTGAAGAGTTTAATAAAGGCTTTCTTCTATAGAGATGAGCAAATTTAAACAAAATACAACAAAGGAAATAGCGCAGAAATTCAATGTGTCAAGAATTGTGAAGAATCTGCAACTTTACTTGATTTATAAGCTGCTAAAATAACCTATTATAGTTTCAAGATTCTGCAGAAGACACAAGACTCCTGGACTAGAGGCTAAAGACAGTTTATTACTCACTGCACTAACAATAGCCAAAATATTAGCATTTGTATAGTTCTCCAAATCAGAAATTCACACAGGGTTACATAAAAATAGGTAACATTTGGGCCCTCCCTGGTGGCGCAGCGGGTTAAAGCGCAGCACTGAGAATCTGAAGCCACTTCCGCATGAGTTCGATTCCCGCCTGCTGCCTGCCCAGGAGGAGACCACATGGCCAGGCAGACCTCTCCTGGCCTGCCCGCTGCTCCCCTCAGCAGTATACTTCGATGACCTGCCTGTTCTGCTCCCCACTCTGTCTCTGGTGAAGCCTCTCACCGCCCCTGCCCCTCTGGCCTGGACCCCAGTTCTGTATGAACAAATAAATAAATCTTAAAAAAAAAAAATAGGTAACATTTGAATATGTGATGTTTATTGCTGGAGGGGAACCATTCAACCTAGCAGATAAGGGGAAAAGAAAATAAATACCCTAAATTCATATTCTTCCTGGCCATCGTTGGTGGTGCAGCCCGTTAAAGTACAGCACTAAAAAGCTAAAGCCACTTTCCCATGAGTTGGATCCCCGCCTGCCCCGGAGGTGACCCACATGGCTCAGCAGACTTCTGCTGACCTGCCCGCTGCTCCCCTCAGCAGTATACTTCGATGACCTGCCTGTTCTGCTCCCCACTCTGTCTCTGGTGAAGCCTCTCACCGCCCTTGCCCCTCTGGCCTGGACCCCAGTTCTGTATGCACAAATAAATAAATCTTAAAAAAAAATCACATTCTTCCCTGTTCAGTCTTCGGCTGGTGACTTTTATTCAACAAAGTCAACCAGGCATCAGTCAGCAAGGAAGTGTTTTAATATCATCCATAAAATTGGCCCTCTCTTGTACAGAGCAGGAAGGAAAAGGTTGAAGAAGGCATGTGATGTGACAAATGGATAGCTGATGGGAAAAAAAGAGATTTATACAAAAATAATGCAAAAAGAAGATAAGAAAGAATGAGGTGAGGAAGAGTGGTGAGATAAAAAGAGACAGTATTTAATGGAACAGAAATTTAACCCAAAATGTTCAAATGCTTCCATTAAAATTGATGATTGTCTAACTGGACAAAAAAAAAGAACCATAAATTTTAGTCAATTACAAAAAAGCCCTCTGATACACAGATCACAAATGTTAAAAAAAAAATGTTAACAGAGAAAGCGTGGAAAAGATATATTATAAAACATGATCCATAAAAACATCATTGTAGTAATGTCAGATAAAGATTTAAGGCAGCCAGGTTTTTTAGACTGTACAGGGGGGACAATTCAAAATGTGAAAAGCATCTACTTACCTAGGAGCCTTAAAGGCCTACTTTGTAAAACATGCAAAATTTAACTTCTAAACATATACCTTTGAAACATAGTAAGCAAAAACCACACATATAGAGCAAAAATAAATGAAAAAATTATAGTGGGAGATTTTAACATAACATCTCTCAGGAAAAGATGGGACAAGCCAATTAAAAAGTCAGTAAGCGGGCCCTCCCTGGTGGCGCAGCGGGTTAAACTGAGAAGCTAAAGCCACTTCCGCAAGATTCCCGCCTGCCCACGGAGGTGACCACATGGTATGGCAGACCTCTCCTGAGCCGCCAGCTGTTCCCCTCAGTAATGTACTTCGGCAATCTGCCTGTTCTGCTCTCTCTCTGGTGAAGGCTCTCACAGCCCCTGAGCCTCTGGCCTGTACCCCAATTCTGTATGCACAAATAAATCTTTAATAAAAAAAAAAGTCAATAAGCATACAGAGAATTTAAACTGCATGATTAACATATTTGACTTAATTGATATATGTGGAAAACAAGATATCTCAAAACTGCAGCAAATACCTTCTGTTCATATACACACATAATGTTACTAAAAATGACTATATACTGGGCCTTAAAGCAAGTTTCACAACTTTGAAAAGACTGAAATCATATAAAGTATATTCTATGAAAACAAGGTATTTAAATTACATTATTTTTAAAAGACAAAAGATTGAAAAATCTCCATCACAATGGAATAAAATATTTTGAGCTGAGTAATGATGAAAATATAACATTAAAATTTAGGAGATTAGATATATCTAAGTTCATATCTAAAAGGGAATATATGACGTTCACTGTGATTATCAGAAAATACGTAAAGCTAAATATCAAAGAACGAACTAAAAGTATCCATGTAAAAATTTGGGGGGAAAAGGTACAGCAAATAAAACCAAAGGAAAAAGCAGGAATGTAAAGTAAAAGAAAATAAATAAATCAGATAGAATATGAACAGAGGTAAAAGTAATTTCTGAAAAAATTTAAATTAATAAACTCTGGGAAATATAGTCAAGAACAAAAAAAGAGAAGACACAAGCACTCAATTCTAAAAATAAAGCACATAACACAGGGAATCCTTTAGGATTAAAAGTTAAGAGAAACATATGACTACTTTTCTGCTAAAACATTTGAAAATTCAAACGAAAGATAAAATTCTTAGAAAACATTACTTGTCAAACCAATACTAAGATGAAGACTTTCAAATAATCTTATTAAAGATGTTGACATTTATTAAAACTTTCCCACAGAGACAGATGAACTTACACATAATTTTATCAAGTGTGAAGAAACACATAACACTGATCTCATTTATACTCTGTGGAAATAAAACATTAGTGGATGCTCCCCACTTTTAATGAGCCCATTATAAGCCTATACCAATACCTCAAAAGAATATTATGAGAAAAGAATTTAAAGGTCAGTCTCATTCATGAACATAAGTGCAACACTGTAAAACACAGTATCAGCAAACTTATCAAAAATAGTTTTAAAGATTGAGTAGAGTTCATTCTATGATACTAATTAAATTTTCTATTAAATATCAACATGATTCATTACTTGAATAGAATGAAGGAAAACAACATAGTCAGCTCAATAGATTAGGAAGAACTGCTTAATAAGTTCCAATATCCATTTATGGTAAAATTTCTCAGATAACAGAATATAAGGGACTCCTTTTCCTATGATGATGATAAATGACATCAATGATGGAAGTGTGGAATAATATTCTAATAGCTATCTCTTGAGATGAAGAATAAGACTAGAGTCTATGTTATCAATACTCATGTTCATCACTGTGTTTCTAAGCTGTGTAGTAAAGCTGTGTTGTAAGGCTTAGGGGATTTAAAATTAAAACTACATACATAAATTAACATTATTCAAAAAAAATATGGTCATATATACAGAAAACTTTAAAATATTTACAGCTGAATTTTTAGAATTAATTCATGAAAGAAATTATGTGGTTAGAAAAGATTGTCAGAAGTCATTTGTTTTTTGTTTTTAAAGTTTTATTTATTTATGCATTACAGAACTGGGGTATAGGCCAGAGGTTCAGGGGTGGCGAGAGGCTTCACCAGAGATAAAGTGGGGAGCAGAACACTGCTGCGGGGAGCAGCGGGCGGGTCAGGAGAGGTCTGCCGCACCATGTGGTCACCTCTGGGGCAGGCCGGGATCGAACTCATGCGGAAGTGGCTTAAGCTTCTTAGTGCTGTGCTTTAACCCGCTGCGCCACCAGGGAGGGCCGAAGTCATTTGTTTTTCTCATGACAAAGGACAGAAAATCAATAAGGTATCTAAAATACTGATAAATATCAAATATTTAGAGTACATATCTAACAGTACATGTACAATTTAGTTATGCAGAAACTCACAAAACAAGAAATTAAACTTTCCATAATCAGTGGAAAGATAGCTATTTCATGGATTGGATTGTTATTTCTGAAAAATATTATTTCTCCCTAAGTTGATTTATAAATTCAAACAATTCAAAGAAAATCATAGTATTTACGGAATTTGTGGAACTAGCTCTAAAATTAATAAACTGTAAAAAAATACAAATTAAAAACCTTGTTCTACTGAATAATAAGATTTTTATTAGCTGTAGTATCTAAGGTAATATTATTGTAAATATTGTAAACCAATGACATACAAGGGAAAGTCCTGAAAAGACTCATTATAGATAGACAATTGAGTGATGATAAGGGAGGCATTGCCAAAGTATGATGAAACAGTATTTTCAAAAAAAAAAACCAAAAAAACAAAAAACTGTTGTAATTACTTACCATATAGGAAAAAAAAACTTAATATATGGTCACTACACTCTCACATCTTCATACTGAAAGAAAAAAAAATAAGAGTCAGGGTTTAAAGAGGCAGTGTAGTAAGATCCCAGGATCATCTCTTCATGAACAAACCAAATATATAGGTGTATCTGGAATAACTGTCTTTAAGAAAGATCTGAGAACAAGCTGAATAGCTTTCCCACCACAAGAGATAAAAAGAATCACAACAAAAAGGATAGGGAAGACAGAGACTCAATCTCACCAAGATACCACATTTCAGATACAGTGACCAATCTGACAAAAAGGAACTATTTGACAAATATGGAGCATATCCCTGAGGAGTAAGGGGTTCTTGTCCCATATGATGCATCCTAACATTTTTGACCTTGTTGGTAGATATAGGTCCCTCAAAATAACTACTTTTGAAAACCAAAGGGTCAGGTGCATCACACATAACAGACACTACTACTACATTGCTCAATATGGTGCTCAATGCAATCCAGATCTTGATGCTCCCCATCAGCTGCAATAGCATCAGGAAGCTCTTAGGATACATAGATCTGGGGACTCAAGCTCTGTGTTTGTCCTTGGCCTTGCTAGAACTTGCAATACCTCCCAGAAATGAGATTTTAGACTCACCTAGGACTGTGATTTTTGCAGCTGCTCCCAAGAGAATACCTCCATCTCACTGAGACTGAATATCGGCAGAGTATACGACTGCAGCACCGCAGGACCATACTATCAATATCCTTTAAAAGATGGTACTTGAGCATGTAGCCTTCAATTACCCTGAAAATAGATGCTAAAAATGAGTCTTTCCCTTATCACATTAACAGGTCTTGGCACATATTTTACACTGGAGGCCTATCCAGAATAAACCAGGCTGCCTAGACAACCACAAATTTTTAAGAGAAAACCAAAAAAATAGGGCAAGTTAAATGACAGTGTTTAATGCAAGACACTCAACACTGGGAGAAACTATACATAGAAACACAGAGTGAAGTAAAATGAAGAAACAGAAGAATATGTTCCAAATATATGTTCCAAATATAAGAACAAAATAAAACCTCAAAAAAAAAAGGACCTAATGAAACAGAGATAAGAAAATTATGAGAAACATTTAAAGCAATCATACAGATGATCACTGAACCTGGGAGAAGAATGGATGAACACAGTAATAGATAGAAAATACAAGAAAGCACCAAATGGAAGTCACAGTGTTAAAAATATAATTGAACTGAAAAAATAGAAGTGCTCAGTGTAAGAATTAATGAAACAGAGAATGAATATAAGTAAATTCAAAGATAGGGGCGTGTAGTTTACCTAAACAGAGAAACAAAGAGGGTAAAATATCTTTTTTAAAATGAAGATAGTTTATGAGACCTAAACTAAACTAAAATAAAATAACATCTCTAAGTAAACTAAGACAGAATAACATCTCAATTATTAAGTGTCCCAGAAGAAAAGAAAGAGGTAGGAAACTTATTTAAGAACTAGTGACTGAAACGTCCCCACTCTGGTGAAGGAAGCAGGTATTCAGTTATAGAGAGCACAAAGAGCTCCAGATGAGGAACTCAAAGAGACTCATACCAAGGCATCTTATAATCAAAATGCAAAAAATAAAAGAATTTTTAAAGTAGCTAGAAAAAACTCAATATGTTACATAAAAGAGGAATTCCCATAAGGCAATCAGCACTTTTATTTGCTAAACAGTCTGTATAACAGAAAGGGGTGGCAAGAGCTAAAAAGAAAAAGTGTTCCAAACAAGAATACTTTGCCTGGCAAAGTTGTAATTCAAAATAAAGGAGGGGTAAATTTTTCTTTTCTTTCTTTTTTTTTTTTCAGAAAAACATATCTTAAAGGTGTCCATCAATACAACATCAGTGCTACAAGAAATATTAAGTAGTATTCTTTAAGTTCTAAAGAAATGATACTAAGATAAAGCAAGAAAACATAAGAAGGAAGAAAAATCCCGTTGGAAAAAAAATACCTGATCAGGATACCCCAGTATTACCTCGCTTAAATATAAATTAATTAAAAGAAAATGTCTGCTTTAGTACAGGTAGTGGATTAACTACTTATAAAACTAGCACAAAATTGTTTTTTAAAATATTTATTTACTCATGAATTTAAGAACCAGGGTGCAGGACAAAGACATGGGGAATGAGAGGATTCACCAGAGACAGAGTGGGGAGCACAACAATACTGCACTTTGACCCCTTGCACCACCAGGGAGGCCCCCAAACTAGCACACCACTGTTAAAAGACAAGATTATAAAATAAAATTATAAGCAGTGGAGGGACCAACTACGCCAAAAAATGATGTAATAAAAAAATATAAAATGTGAGGGAATGAAAGTATCATTTTTTTGATAAAAATATGAGTTCAAAATTAAGTTGCTGTCAACTTAAGACAGAAAGGTATAAAATAAGATATTGCATGTGAACCTTTATGGCAACCACAAAAGCAAAAACCTACAAATAAAAGCACAAAAAAAATGAGAAAGGGATCTAACCATAACACTATAAAAAGTTACCAAAGCCATAAAGAAAGAGAGCTAAGAGACTATGAGAGGAACTAAAAATGAACCAGAAAGCAATTAAGAAAATGTCAATAAATACATATCTACCAATAACCGCCTTAAATGTTAATGGAACATTCCAATCAAAAGACACAGAGTGACTGGGTGGATTAAAAAAAAAAGAAAAACCTCACACCATACACAAAAATTAACTCAAAGTAGATTAAAGACCTAGACAAAAGAACAGAAACTATAAAATATCTGGAAGCAAAGATGGGCCAAATACTACATAACAAACACTTCAGCGACATCTTTGAAGATACAACACCCAATGCAATGATAGTGAAGGCAAGGATAAATAGATGGGACTACATCAAGTTAAAGAGCTTCTGTACAGCAAAAGAGACATTACAAAAGACAAACTGACACCCCACTGAATGGGAAAAAAATTTCTTACACAAAACTATCAATAAAGGATTGATTACAAAGATATATATACATAGAACTGATGAAACTCAACAAAAATAAACAACCCCATCAAAAATGTGCAGAAGAGCTAAAAAGACACTTCTCCAAAGAGGAAATGCAGCTGGCCAACAAGCATATGAAAAATGTTCAACATCACTTGTAATAAGGGAGATGCAAATTAAAACAATAAGATATCACCTCACCCCAGTAAGAATGGCACATCTTAAAACAACTAGCAACAACAAATGTTGGCGAGGATGTGGAGAAAAAGGAACTCTCCTGCACTGCTGGTAGGGATGAAAACTATGGAAAACTGTTTGGAGGTTCCTCAAACTGATAAACATGGAGCTTCCCTACGACCCAGCAATCTCACTCCTAGGTATCTACCCAAAAGACACAAAAACACTGATTCAAAAAGATACCTGCACCCCCATGTTTACTGCTGTTCTATTTACAATTGGAAAGACATGGAAACAGCCTAAATGCCCAAAAGTAGATGACTGGATTAAAAAGATGTGGTACATACACACAATGGAATATTACTCAGCAACCAAAAAAAATAATAAACACATGCCTTTTGCAGCAACATGGAGCTGGAAAAGATCATGCTTAGTGAAATAAGCCAGAAATAAAAGGAAAAAATACCGTATGGTTTCACACATAGCAGGAGTATAACGGACCAGGTGAAAAAAAAATAATAAAAAACAGCTATATACCAGTGACATGTTATGGGGCAGAATGGGGAATGGGATCAAAAACAGTAGGGGGAGGGAAATGCACTGGACTATAGTGATGGCACATGGGTGATTTGGTGATTGGAACCCCAGGGAGATAACAACTGAGATGAAAAAATGCACAAAATGATGTAAAAATAAGCTATTATATTATTAAAAAAATAAAGGACTCAACTATATATGCCTACTAAATATCCATATCAAAAATAAAGACACATACTTACTGAAAGTGAAGGAATGGAAAAAGTAACAACAACAACAAAAAGAAACCTATAATTGTATCATCCACGGAAGACTTTAAAATGAAAGCTACAATAAGACAAATAAATGTACTACATATTGATAAAGGGAACAGTCCAACAAGAGGATATCATAGTTGTAAAACCTTATACACCAACATAGGGACATTTAAATATCTACTAAATACTCAAATAAGATTTAATACATCTCAAGTTCTTCCAAACAATTCCAGAGGAGGGAACATTCCAAACTCATTTCATGAAGCCAGCATTATCCTAATAACAACTCAAGGATACTGAAAAAAAAAAAAAAAAGAAAGAAAAGGAATTTATAAGTTAATATTTCTCATTGAATATAGGTGCAAAAATTCTCAACAAAATATTAGTATATTGAATTTAACTTATACAACTCCATGATTCAAATTAATTTTGTTAAAGAAAAATTTAAAAAGTTTGCAAAGAAGAGACATTTTCCCAAAGAAGCCATATAAATGGCCAATAGGCACATGAAAAGATGTTCACCATCACTAATCATACAAACACACACACACACACACACACACACACACATATAAATGGAACAGTATGCAGCCATCAAGAAATCTTGTTATTTTCAATAGATTTGGATGGCCAGAAGAGTCTTATGCTAAAGTGATAGATACAGACAGATAGGGCTTAAATAACATATAATTTCACTTATATATGGAATCTAATAAACAAACAAAAAATATATCAAAATCATATACAGAAAACAGATTGGTGGTTACAGAAGGGATGAGGATTGAATGGTGGGTAAAATGGATGAATGAATTAAGAGATACAAACTTCAAGTAATAAATGAAATAAGTCAAGTAGATGGAATGATAATCAAAGTATGGCAATATATATTTGATTGTTGCTAAGAAACTATGGCAAGCAGAATAATTGTAGTGATCATTTAACAATGGATAGAAAGGTCAAATTATATGTTACAATTGAAATTAAAGTAATGTATGCCAATTATATTTCTATTTAAAAAAAAGAAAAATTCAATTTCAAGTGCATCACAGATTTTAATGACAAAGCCAAAGTAATTTTTGGAATATATAGGGAAAATCCCTAAGCAGGATATAAAAAATATAATCATAAAAATTAATTTGGCTAAATTAGACTTAAGAACTTCTGTTTATCAAACAATACCATCAAGACATCTAAAATGTAAGGTACAGAATGGGACAATTTACAAAACTTGGAAGCAACAAAGAACTATTACCTTTGATATAAAGTGAATTCCTATAAAAGAGTAAAAAAATCATAAAATTGGTCTAGAACATGAAATGACATATATCAGAGAGAACACGTAAATACTAAATAATACCATGAAAAAGTGTTCAACTATATTGGTCAACAAGAAAAGTCAAATTCCACAATAAGATACTGCTAAATATTCACCATACAGTCTATTGTGGAAATTGTACTAAATTCTACCAGGGAAACCTAGACATTGCTGGTGGTAAACTAGCAGTATCTTCTAAGGCTGAACATACACATATAATAACCTCACAATACCACTCCTGAATACACAGTATGAAGAAATGCATGCACTGTGTACCAAGTAGTGTACAAAACATTCACTGCTGCAGTATTAGTAGCCAAAAGTGGAAGACAGCCCAGATATTTATCAGTAGTAGAATGGATAAATTGTATTTACAGACAATAGAAGAATGAGCGAATTAAGACTATTTGTAAGAATGAAAGAATTAGAGCTACTTGCTTGCATAAGCTTGGAAGAATGCTGTAAATATTACGTTAAAGGAACAAAGTCAAGCACACAAGGACCACACTCTATGAATCCATTTATATAAAGATAACATCCAAGTGACCTACTCTATTGTGTTTAGGTATGATACTTATGGTTGATTACTATTAAAACTGGGTTGGAGGAAAAGTTTTTTTTGGAATACAGACAATAATCCACTTCATGACCTGACATTAGGGGTTTTTCAGTGACAGGTCATTATACAATTTTTGTTAGTGAACCACTTCTCTGTATGTTATTTTTCCCAATATGAAGGGTTAAGAAACTTGATTTGATGAAAAAGAAGAGAGGAACTAAGGAGGACACATTTCCTTGAGGGCAGGAAGGACAGGATGCTTATAGGGAGACAGGAAAGAAAGGTGAAAGGGGCAGAAAATCCTCATTGTAGGGGAGGGGCCAGAAGCAAAGGCTTCCTTTCCAAACTTACAGACTCAAACCAAAAAACGACAACAGCCACCCAGGGGAGGGCCAATTCTTTGGTACCAAGATATTTGCTTCATTGTTTCAGAACTCTTTAATCATGGGGAGGAAACTTAAACTTTCCTTTAGATAGAAAAATGCCTCTGAATTCTTTTAGGTTTTAGTTGGTCTAGTAGTTATTCTGCCCCTTTTATATTGCAGAGCTCTTTATTTAGAATCATTTTTTGTAAACCTCTTAGACACAAAACCTAGTTTCTTTTGTTGACTTGCTTCAAAACTGTGAATGAACTAATTCTATTAATCCTTAGTACAGCTCCTCAAGGTATTTGGGAATAAATTCAATATTTAATGCTGATCTACATGGCAAAACTATTTAGGTTCTCATTCCTTAGAGACTAGTTCTTTTGGTTTTTTGCTCCTAATGACTCCAAGTATTATAATTTTTACTCATGGGGGTTAGAGGAAGAGCATAAAGCCTGCAAATGGATACTCCCTGGATTCTCACTAAGTGAAAAACTACCCAAAGAGGGAAGACACAATTGTGATCTCATTCCAACCAATGACATTCTTATTGAGGTTAAAATTTTATGCTGAAATAGTATTTCTACTGATTCCAAAGATATAAGCATTTTCCAACTATCCTTTCCTCTAGCAAAAACAGTAGGCATTGCGTGTGTGCGCGCGCGCATGTGCGTGTGCCTGTGCGTGCATGTTTGTGTGTGTGTGTGTGTGTTTAAGACAGACAGGGAGAAAGAGGAGGAGACAAAAACTTCAGCTGTAAATTCATTCTCCTATCAGAATGCTCATATTATAGCATTTTTAGAAGAGAAGGAGAGTTTTGGCTGAAAATAGGGATGGTGTTGACAACAATGTTTTATTTCTACTTTGACTGAAATGACCCCTATATATTTGTGCTTTTTTTTTTTTTAGTAAAGTCTTTTAAAGCCTACACATAGCAAACAGACCATAATTCGGGAAAAAGGATGTCAAGGGTAGCACATAGTATCAATACACGTTAACTATTTCATGATTGGTATTACTAATTTTATTCATCAGGAGAACTACCATTTTGTCCTGACTTGAGATTGCATAAAGCATCCTGGAGACCATATCCACTCCTAGATGAGTCCTGCTCTAACTTTGAATGAAGGAAAACGAAGAAGTGGGGTTCTTTAACCTCTGTTATTCAGATTTTCTGCCTCTATGGAGTACTCTAGGTTTCCACACAGGCTGGGAGTTATCCATTCTAGTGTGTCAGCAGTGCTCGGTGTGCGTGTGTGGTGTTGGCAGTGGCAAGGACTGGGTGGATTGGGGGGTCTGGGGGTTGAGAGGAAAAGCAAGGACACAAGGAGGGCTTTTCCCTGTTTCTTCTGTAGACAGTTTTTGCAGTTTCCTGGGCAGAGGTTGTGGAGGTTAAGAAAACCTGGTGAAACAGATGCCAGGGACAGATGTTACCTAATTTGGTCAAAGAACAAAGAGTGTGTAAAACATTTGGAAACCCTCAACAGTGGAATGGAAAGGGGGCACTTACAGGCAGAGCAGAAACAGCATCATCCAGAATTTCAGAGTTGCATTGCTGTATCTGAGGGTGAGCATAAAAGTAAATTAGTATTGCAAATAGTATGTGGGTTTTTGAGAAGGAATCTTCTGGATTGGAAGCTTTACTGCACCAATTAATTGCACTATGTTGCGCAAGGCACTTGATGGCTTTGGGCCTCTCTTATCTGTAAAATGGGTAAACAGTAATTAATGAGACTATTTTGAGAATAGACTAGGAGAGGTAGAGTGGAGAGTCATTAAGGAGAACTGATTTTATTAAAAGTAAAACAATCATTTCTTCAGGTTTACTCCCACCTTAAGAATTCTCAAACATCTCAATAGTTTTCTGTACTGATTGTACTATGTGCTCCTACATTCCCATCCACCCAACCCCCCTGCTCCACCCCCCTCAATAGCCTCCCCTCCCCCCACAAGTCTTCCTGTTGAGTGAAAGGAAGAACAGGCACTTGGGGAAAGGACTGGGGCAAACCTAGCCCTGTGGCCCCCTGGCCTCCTGGCACGGTGGGGCCTGTCATGGCGGCCCAGCGACAGCTTAGGTGAGCTCAGATCGCAGAGCAGAAAGCATGGAAGGGTCGGGGGGGTCAGCGGTGCAGAGACCCCAGCCCCGCCATCTGTGGGCCCAGCCACCCTGCGGGATCGCGGGCTCAGCAGGGTCCCAGCCTCCAGCGGCTCCGGGCCCGCCCTGACCCGAGGCACAACCTCCAGTCCCGCGCCCACCTGAGGAGGCGGCGGCCGGAGCCTGGGACACCCGCGGGCCCAGACCCAGCGCTGGCCGCACGAGGTAGA